TGTAGCGTTTTAACTAGTGCTTCATTTCAAATCGATGTGCTGGAGAAGTGAGCCGGCTCAGATTGGTTGTTTGACACACTTTACTGGATGCTTGAAGCCCTTTTTGAATCCACTTTTGCTTTTCTGTTATTTGTGTTTACTAAACACTCTCTGCACCAAGTGTAACCTAACATGGTGGATTTAAGGTATCCAGTAGTGCCTGACTAGAAGTGTTTGTTAAAGCTGTCTTCAGTCTGCAGAGAAAGGGGATATTATCTCCATTAGGGACTTATTTGATTGAAGCGTTAAGCCTTTGGTTCTCAAGAAAAAAATGAAACAATTGACGGCAAAATGCTTTTGAGCCAGGTCTGCTCCTACACCGCCTGTTGATGGGGGCGACACACTGACAGGCATGGGGGGGGGGGGGGGCTTTGCGTCCTGGAGGAGTAATGATACAACAGACCCAAAAATCTTCAGAAGCTTCAGACTGCTGACAGGCAGCATCCTTCATCTCTGAATCTACTGCAAGACAAACAAAAAAAAAACAAGAATCTACATCTATGATCTTATGTGGAAAACATCTGCAAAATATATATTCATATATAAAAGACAATCTATGTGCATCTAAAATGTTCCTTTTTCTGTCATAGTATAATCATCATTAAGACACTTCTTGTGAATCTCTCGAGGTCTGCTCTAAGACTCCTAAGTGGAATGTCAGTCGGTCCTCTCGGCTCGTGCTGCTACGGTGCATCAGTTTTATCGGGGTGGTGCAGTTAATAGTTTCTCTCACAGCCCTGGGGTCATGTTGCTGGGTGTCCTTTGCATAACCTTTAATGCAATACTCCATTTCAGTGTTAGGGACCTGCAAGGAGAGAGCCCGCTCTGAAGGCACAGCATGCCCACCCTAGGGTCCGTCCGGTCCAGCCAGCACTGGAATGTAGAGAGGCTCGTTCCCTTGGCCTTCCTGACGTCAACATCAGCAGAGATCTCAGACGGTTTGACCGCTTCAGTCGGAGCACAGGAATGGGAAAACAAGGAAAAGGAAGAGAGAGGAGCAAAGAGAGAGAGAGACGAGTTTGCGGTTCTGTCTTCAGATCCCCAAAAAAAACCCCTCTCTCTTTGATGAATGTGCGGGGGTCAGGACGATGTGACGTCACCAGGGGCCTCTGGGTGAGCCGGCGTGTTGGCTTTCAGGGTTAGGCACCCCAAGGGAAGGGGGGGGGGGGAGGAAAGGACCACAGATGAAGGAGAAGGGGGGGGCGGGTTCCCAGCCCTGTCATGTGACAGCAGGACCTGCGGGTGAAGCTGCACAGTGTGTATTAGTCCACGGCCTGCTAGTTCAGCTCAGACGGCCACACCTTTTTTCCTCCTCTGTCGCTGGTGTCTCAGATCACCTGAGAGAGGCTGGGCTCGGCTGCTGCCCACCCTCCTCTCCCGCTCACAGCTCTGTGACGTGTAGGGGGTAGCTGGGGGGCATGTGGGCGGGGACCTGCGCCTGGAGCCGGTGGATGTGGCAGCCGTGGCAGAGCAGGTGGCCTTCCAGTGGATAGCAGCGATGTCCCTCTTCGTCGTTTAGCTGGAGACCGCAGTCCTGGAAAAAGTGAGAGCAAAACATGAACATGCCAAGCAGACAACAACAGCACCAATTTCTTGTTTACCTCAATAAAAGGTATTTGAAGAAACAGTTCAACATTTTGGGGAAATACACTAAAGCTATCCATTAGTGGCCAGTTCTGTTAAGCCTGACTCAGACTACAAGATAATCAGGATGATTCCAGGTCCGATTTCCCCTTCCTGACAAACGCTGGGGTTTTCCCGACTGAAGGCTTCTCGGAAACGATAATCTTCCCAGATAATCTTTTAGTGTGAGCGGTATAAAGATCCAGTCTTAACCTCCATGATCTACTCGGAGATCGACGGGGACAATTACCTCATGAAAGGGTCTGATGGAAGTCGTGTGTGACTACAATGTCAGTAGTAAGTGTGTGTGTGTGTGTGTGTGTGTGTGTGTGTGTGTGTGTGTGTGTGTGTGTGTGTGTGTGACTGGTTGATTTGTATTTTGCTGTTGCCATCATCTGCCCAGTCTAATGTTTAATTTGTACACTGTCCCTGATTCAAATAAACGATTAAACTAAACTAAAAATAATGCATCTTATCTTAATATTCTTAATAAAATCCTGTAGTATGTGATGTGCCTCTATTTTCAGAGTGCATGCTTGAGATCATGGAGAAGACTATCTGTTAAGATTCTTCTTATGATGCTTTGTGCTATTTCAAAATCAGGTAGGAATTTAAAACGATTGAAAACCTCATATCTTGCTTGTTTAATCTGTAACAAAAAAACAACACATAACTTGTTTGACCTTCATTCATCTCACACTGTGTTGTCTTTGAGCGTCCCTCTGCTGAACTATACAATTAACTGGGTCAGTGAGGGTGAGGGGTTTTGGTCTTGTTCGTGAGTCAGTGAGCCGCAGGATGGACTGATGTTATATAAATGTATTGACTTCGCTGCGGCAGATGTTTTAATGAACCTTTGTGTTATGGAGGCTGCTGAGTCTGAAGGTAAAAGTCTGATTTAAGAGGCTGAATGTTTTGTTTTTCTTCACTGAGGGGTAGTGAAGGGTTCAGACTTCCTGCAGGAGTTCTGTAAGGAGTCGGTTAAATGTGCTCTGTTCTTCTCTTGTTTTTAGTCTCCTTTTATATATTTCTTTTAAAGCTGGGAGAAATACGTCTTGAAAAACTAAAAATCCATTCATCAAAAAAAAGAGAAGAGTTTCATGAATGTTTATGAAAATCTAGCGAGGAGGGATGAGTGTGTCATGTTCTGACTGACATCTGTCAACTCTTCATTCAGCAATGACACTTGTCAATTAGTATAGTCCTTCATTTAGATTAGCCTAATAGTCACTGCAAGACCCTTTCTGACCATTTGTTTCGGCTAAATGTATCTCTATTATCTGAGTTTAATCTACAAATCTTCTAATGATTGAAGGTAATAAAATGATTTACATTTAGCCTTACATGACAGTTACTTTGAATTTCTGCATTGATCAACAAGGACAGAAGCTTCAGTAAACCTTGAACCTGTGGAGGATTTCTGTGTCCACCAGACATGGATTAGACCCCCCAGGCAGACCCTTAATGTACTGGAAGGATTACATAAACTGACTGGTTCAAACCACTTTTCTACGACCATGATTCAGACCTGCATAATCAGCTGAAAGTTCATGAATTATCCCTGTGTCATTTCTGAGCTTTTAACCCCTTATGAACCAATACGCAGTCTGAGATCCTCTGGCAGAGCCCTACTGGCTGTTCCAAAGTCCAGGCTAAAAAACTAAAGGGGGACAGGGCCTTTGCTGTCAGAGCCCCCAGACTTTGGAATAGCCTGCCAGAGGAGATCAAGACACGCAGATTCAGTCCCTTGTTTAACATCCCTACTCAAGACATTCTTTTATAAAAATGCTTTTATTCTGTGATTTCGGTAATTGTTCTTACTTTTATTTTATTAGTCTGATTTGTTGTCTGCTTGTTTACTCTCTGCCTGTTGCTTTAATTGTCTCTCTGCTTTTATTTTCTGTTGTAAAGCACTTTGTTACTTGTATAGAAAAGTGCTAAACAAATAAAGTATTATTATTATTATTATTATTATCTGCTCTGTTGCTAAATATGTGAAAAAAAAAAAAAAGAAAACCGGAAGCCCCTCAGGTGTTATGGAATCTAAAAACTGTGATGTTGTGCTCAATATGTAATAATTTACTCTTCTCAGGATGATTCAGCGGTGGACTTTACCTTCCCTCTGTGACCCTCTTTCCACAACTCCACTAATGATTACCCATCTCTTACATAACCATCTGGTTTATTTCTGAGAAAAAGTGAGATATCAGCCCTTCAGAGAATTCAGATGGCTCCTGCTCCTGAGCACAAAAGCAATGATCGATCTTTAAATAGAGTTATTCATCACAGGCTGGTGTGAGTTGTTCATTTGTTTCACTTAACCCTTGTGTCACACTTGAACTGTTAAACATCTGACAGAGCTGAGTGGCGGGATGACTGGGATTTCACAAGTCTGGCTTAAGCAACAAGTCCCCAGCTGAGTTCAGAGCTCAGCGCTGGAATGTGCTTTTTTTTTTGTCAATGAGTCACAATGTTGAGTTGTTACCTCTTGCTTGTTATCCGTCTGTGTGTGCATCTCATTCATTCCACAAGGGACTGTAAGCGCTGATTCACAAAACGTTGCAACATAATACAGTCTGGTCTCGTCCCACGATTCTGCAGCTCTCATCCAATTCACTGTGTCTGAGTGGATCTGCATGCGAGTCTGTGAGTGCATGGTCAGGTGTGTGTGTGTGTGTGTGGGTTCTTTGTGTAGTTTAAAACAGCTTGAAAAGTTGAGTCATACACCAGGATTCTAAAATAAATACATTATAGACGACTCTCACTCGTACCCTGCAGAGCTGTGTTCAAATATGCACTCTTTTAAAGCTCTACAGAATTTCAGGAGGACTGCAGCTGATCTTGTTGTTCACACATGCACCCCACAGCCGGACACTATCCCTGTGAGACAGGAGGGGGGGGTCTCCTGAGGCTGGTTTAAAAAACAACGGGGAAGTGGCAGACGGAGCAACAGAGTCCGCTATACAACGCCATAATGAGAATATTTGCCTTTCTATCAGTGCTATGTGTAGTTTAACACAATCACATTATCAACAAAAGAGCAGAGAACAACATACTGGAGAACAGAAAACACAATGCAGCAGTTCAATTAAGTGCACAGAGATTGCAGTGGTCACATTCATACAGTTTATGGTCGTGCACCAACAACCCCACTCTCCTGATTACATCCTGTTACGTTCTCACATCAGCTCCATCCAACTTTGTGCAGAAAAAGTACTAGGGGGCTGGCACAAGAAACAGTGGATAAAGTCAGAGCAAACAAATGTGGCTGTTTGCGTTCACACATGTAGTTCACCCAAAAAAAAACCTTTTGGAGTTTTTCAGGAGTGTGAAAAAAGGCTTGTGACTGTGTGTGTGTGTGTGTGTGTGTGAGTGTTTGTGAGGTCTCACCTCACAGTGGTAACAATCCACATGGTAGTCCTTGTCCATAGAAACGACCCTGATGGTTTCTTCTGAGCCCTGGTGAGAAGAACACAGTAAAACCCTCACATTATTGATTTTTTTTTTTTGGGGGGGGGGGGGGGATTTTGGTATACTTTATTCTGGTTTCAGATGAGGCTGCTACACACTGCTAAGCAGAGAGCGCTCCAGAGCAGTTGTGGGTTTGGTGAAGTTGAAGTGATGGTCCAACAATCAAGGCTCAGGTTTGATCACTGTACCTTCTACATTTTCTGAAGGTGCACACACCCGCATACAAACAACTCTAAATTTATGTTGACTTTTTTAAGGCTTTAACACAGAGTTTAGACTTAGACTATAGACTTTAAAATGAAATACACTCAAATAAAATTCTGGTGTTTTTATTTGATTCTTTATCATCTAGACTGAACTTAAGGTCATTTTATCTGACTTTATGTGAGGTTTAAGTCAAATTAGTCAACCATGGACCAGAATGAGGTGGTCGTTTCGTCAAATACAAATTGAAGAAGTTTGATTTTTGGTAATTTCTTAGAAACTGACAGCACGTAAACAAGAAGTACAATTAGCTGAAGGGGATTAGCTCCTCACCTGGGCTGGAAGGATGGGCTGGTTACAGGAGGCACACTTGGGAGCAAAAACCCTGTTGAGGAAGAGCCAACAAATAAATCAAAACCTTCTCCTCTGTCTCGTTCTGTGCTGTACATCAGACTTCTTTCATGCTAATGTACATGTTGCAGTTTGAAGGAGCTTTATTAGTTTGAAGAGGAGACACTTGTTCTTCTTACGTGTGATAGTCTTTGACACAGTAGATGTTGTTCTCCACGTCCACAGTGAAAGGCACACCATCTAGACCCTCTTTACACACCACGCAGCGGAAACAGCCAGGATGGTACGACTTCCCCAGTGCCTGGAGGATCTGGACACACACACACACACACACACACACACACACACACACACACACACACACACACACACACACACACACACACACACACACACACACACACACACACACACACACACACACACACACACATATATAAAAACATTCAACAGACACAGAACAAACACAGGAAAGGTAACGGTAACACTTTGGAGGGACACCAAGGAGTTCATGCAGAAATATTCAATGTACAGCCATTATACATTTTTTTAAAGGATAGATACAAAACATAATTTACATGCGCTGTTAACAAGGCTGTTATTGTTTTTGCAGCAGCAGGACACCAATTTAAATCAAAGAGGTGTAAGGAAAACAAACACCTGATTAAGTTGATATTATATTCTATGCTACTACGGATAGATGACTCAAAACCCTGCAACAACTTTTTATTGAAGTTTAGATGCAAATGGTAATTTCTCTTCTTGAGCCACACACACAGGAGAGCACATGATCTTGGCTGTTACAGGACTTGTTAAATATAAATATTAAGATCCCATCCCATCTGATCGCAAACAAAAGTTGTGTGTTGGGTAAAGCTCTTACCATCTCCATGATGAGGTGACCGCACACAAAACACTTCTCAGCTGTCTGCTGGAAACCGGAGTACTGTGGGTGAGACAAACAAAAAAAACCCAGAGAGAAATCATCAGCAGTGATTTATTTAAGTTTGAAATGCAAGCATTGCAACGCCATGTACTGCTTTCATACATGATACATGACCTTGTGCCTGCGACTCGTCTATAGAGGGTGCTGTTGCGCTCTTTAAATGAACATGAAAAGTCTTTCTTTGTCTCTCAGCTGACAGGTTCAACATGCTGTTACGACCTGTGGACTCTATAATAATGTATGTCTAAATGTTTCTGTGTGTTTCTGCTTTTCTGTAAGGTCATCCATCATATTAATACTTTAGGAAATACTTTTATATTTGAAGTTTGTTTTATGATAAGGGAGCTTCTTCCCTTGACAACCTGGGTGTTTTACAGGGAACAAAGACCTCAGCGTCATATCAGCAGCTCCTTTCCCTTTAAGCCCGAGCACAGACAGATAACGAAGGTGACCATCTGCAGCTCACAGCACCCTCCAGGCCGTGTGACCTGATGACTTGAGGGGAGGGGGCGATGGAGTGGGGTTCGAGGGGAGACATGGCTACTACCAGGTGGAGGTGGGAGGTCAGTGATGAGCAGACTGCCCCCTGCCCTTACACCTCCGCTCTAGATCTACCATCTGCCACCACCTTCCCCCCCCAAACCCTCTAAACACCCCCGGGGTGACAGGCCAGACTAGTCAAGTCTTAGCTGCACGAGGCAGGCAGAAGATTAGTCTTACCCCATCGTCTTACCCATTGCATCAGTTTGTCACAGAGAAGCCGTGATTGTTCAGTCAAAAAACAGGAACTGCCGCTATTTCCTAACAGATCAACAGGTTCAGCTGTTTGGGGAAGCTGCAGATAAACAGGAAGTATGGAAGCATGTGCTGTAAGGTTGTTACAGGAAGCTTTTGTACGTTCCTTCCTCCATGTTCAGAAATACTTTCATCACGTTTCATTTGAACATTGTGATCTTAAAAAAAAAAAACAGCCCCATAGAAGGCCGACATTACAACATTTCCAAGAAGGCATCATGAGAGCGGGCCAAATGTGTGCCAGCGTAACCTGAAGCAGATGGACCAGGAGCCTGAGAGCTACAGCTGTCCTCCTCCCACTCTTAATTGTGAGTGCCGCGGAGCAGCTCGTGGGGTAATTGAGCTCCTCGGGGAGATTTCAGGGGAAATGAGTGTGAATTGGAGGGGTGGTGCTAAACTCCTTAATTGTAGCTGCAATGTCTGTTTCCTCTTGAGGGTTGCAGAATGCAGCTTGAGATCTTAATCCTTTGCTCTCTGCTTCACCCGCTCCTATTAGCCCACATTTAGGAAGTGATTTTGGAGCTACCAGCAAATCCTTAACTAAACAAAATAAAAATAAAATTATTAATATGAAGCAGACTTACCAGAAAGTCCTCCTCACAGTAAACCTTCCCGTTGACGTTGTAGAACGCTTTCCCTCGCAGCCTCCGCCCTGAGAAGAAAGACAACAACGAGATCTAAATATTCTAGTTCACTTGGAGGTTTGACTGTTCAAGGTTTTTTTATTTGTACCGAAAGGTAAATTTGATGTGCAGACAGGGATTCAGCGTTTACAGAGATAAATACATCACATTATATCAAAACTATTCAAAGGAAACATTCACACAAACAACATCGATTACATCTGGCCATGGAGAAGTCCTCAAACAGAAACCTGTTAATAAGCTGAAAAACCCCGGCAAGGTGAAAGTGCATCATCTTTTGCTAGTTTTGTTCATACACCTCTTAGACCTTCAAAGAGAATTGTATTAAATAACATACGGACAGATGGGTGCCTCAAACTTTTTTCACAACAGGGACAGCTGATAGTTAAATTGGTAACCACAATATCCCAAAATGCCGTAAACACAATCTTCAGCACCTTTTCATCAGGTACAAGAGAGTGTGCCAGCAAACACACTGATCCAATGTCATCTTTTATTAGCCCGTCAAAGAACCAACTTGTATCTACTTCTTCAAAACAGACCACAAAGCAATAATAAACAAAATGGCCAACAATAGCCACTTCTGTTTATGAGCTGCAAAGAAGAACTGATTTCAGATATTTTACGATGTGACTAAATGTAACCACAACAGTTCGGCTCTAGCAGAGATCTTAAGTCAGTGAAGTGAAGAATTAGTGTTTACCCTTATTTACACATATTTAGGCTGTCTTTTTATTTTCAGGTCAAGATAGTTTAAACTACTCAATAAAAAAAATAAAGCAGTTTGCCACACACCATATATACAAAGAGCCTGCAGTCCAAGATGCCATTAACGTTAGCACACTGTGTAGCTACGTAATGCTGTTAGCTTGTTTTAAGCCAGGCTGTAAACTGTCTGAGTTTGTTCACCTGAAGCCACTGAAGAAGGGATTTGAACTGAAACGTCTGCAGCAATAAAAAGAAAGTGGATTTTTTTGGTTGAGGATTCAGCACACACACAAGGTACTGAGGGTGAGCCTGTCATATTTCAATCATACAGGGTTGGTAGAAAGCAGCCGTTGAAAAAAAAACATACAGCATGTTTACATAATGAGTTAACAAAGTGCAAGCTTGTTAGCTTTGACCGCTTTGTTTTCCCTCTTCTGCAAATATTATTCAACAGAACAAAAATGCCTCGAGTGTGAAAACAGAGCAGCGTAAAGCAAATTAGAGAGAAGCTCTAGAAGACATTAACATAACAGTCAATGTATAAGCCCAACATGTAGGGTCATAATACCTTTAGAAACACATGTTTAGAGATTTGACTGATTTATTTCACTGAACCAACTTCTGAATCCAAGATGTTGGAATATTATACACTTCATGAAGACTTCCACTTAGATCATTTATAATGTTGTCTCATGTATTTTGTTGAGTTTAAAGGGAGATATCAGACAATAGAGAAACCACCATGATGTTGTTATAATGACAAGAAACTCACAATTTAAATCATCAGTTTAGAAATCTAAAAAGACATTTAGCAGACATGAAGGTGTCAAGCTAAATGTGAAGAAGCTTTTGGTAGTTGAAGGACACAAGTTTGTTTATTGAGCACCCTTCATACATAGAGCAACTCAAAGTGCTTCATACAGTAACACACAGATCATTGAGTAAAGGACGTTCAAATGCCACATTTATGAAATGAAATCGAAGCTCAACAACCACTGATTTGACCATCTTTGTATAGTTGGTTGCAAACAACACTCATGCCTGGGCCTAAGTCTTCTCCTAAGGTTGCTTTCAAAAGCTTGATTCATACTTCTGCGTTGAATCCCGACCTGTCCCGTGGCTCTGTATCTACGGAGAAGCCGTTTCAAAATTCTGCAGTATAAGAACATTTACAAGCCAGTATAATCAATTGTCGCCACAGTTTCCTGTACACAAACAAGCAGAGAATGTGGCAGGACCTAAAGCTGACGATATTACAAGCACAGATTGGACTGCCAACGTACTCGTTCACCAGTAACCCTGCTGCAGGCGGTCTCAGTAGCATTGGGAAGCACTCGATGATGGTGACCACACATTCAAATATCAGGCCGAAAACCATTTCTAAAACCCCAGAGACCACACAGATATCAGACTGCTAACCAGCATTTGTAGGCACACACGCACCAAGACACAAGTACGAAAAAACCAGGCTTTCCACATAAAATATTAGAAATGCCTTTTTAAGTTAACTTCAGTCACTTTAAATTAAAAAAAGGTTATTTTGGCTGAAACACCACAGAATAACCTCATAGAGAGATATCCAGATATTTCTGCCTCTTTTGACCAATTATTTCTTCTTGAGTGAGTCCTTCAACTTTATGGAAATGCAAGGTGCTGGAGAGCACTCCAAGTTTGCAAAAAACTAACTTTATGCTATGCATTAAAAAATGTAACTCCCGCCACTCCAAGTCCAATTAAATGATATAGTTAGCCTGTTCCATAATCTCTCCGTTTTTACAACCACAACAGTGGGTCAGTGCCGAGCAGATGGCTGGTTGAACGTAGGCGGCGTCCGGCCTGTGCCTCCGCTTAATTACTTGACCATTGATCCCAACAGGATTCCATTCACAACCCATAAACAATCAATATAGCGGGCTGCTGTCTCTCGTCCCAACCTCCCCCCAAGATCTCTCCTCTTGCCTTCCCTGCCATTGTGCATCGTTCAAAGAAAAACCAACAAAAGCAGACAGGAGGGAGGATGTCTCTAAGTCTGACACAAACATGAACACCAGGTTTCAGTTTTCCTCATTCTTCTTCCTCTTTGACAAATACAACTCTACGATGTGTTGAGTTGCTAGTGCTTCTATTACTTTATCAACTTTCAGATGACAGATCTTTGTTTTTTTTGTCATTATTTTGGACATCTAGACTAAACAGTATGAAAACAGCCAATAGATGCAGTGGTGCACCTCGTGAATACATGCCCACACTGCAGCAGGCCCAGGTTCAGCATGCTGGGCTTCCAGCTCTGAGTGAGAAGCCTAAATTCCTCTGGTTGAGTCTTCATTCATCAGAATCCAAGTCTGAATCCAATCTAAAAAAGAAATTCTGCTGCGGGCTGGCTTCTGCAGCCCCCTGCCATGCACTCCTTACAGCTAGCCCATTCAAATTCATTTAACAGCAGCGGTGTCTCTCTGGCAGCGCGATGACTTCACCAGAGCCTGGCAGAAGAAGCGCACGGATCTCATAAATCTGCTGGATTAGTCAGATTTAATTGTCGTCCCGAGTCACCATTGATTTTATGGGTGTCCCAGCATGGGAAATCCACCCCCCTCTCTTTTTAACGCTGAAATTTATGCAATCGCTGTATTTCACACACAAACACGGTGTCACAATGCCTGGAGATGGCAATACATTAACACCCACATAAATGGCCAGAGCAGCCGAGGAATGCTGCCCACACAATAGGTGAGACTTTTAAGACTTTGAGACAGAGGAGCAATTAGCATTTTGGTAGCATGGAGCAAAGAGAAAAGCAGGATCGAGGAAGAACTCTTAAGAGACACCGTCTTCAAAACCAGGACTTTGGAGAGGCTAAACTGGCAGGAACATTGAGATTATAGAGAACATAGCAGCAGCGGGGGCTGCGAGGTGTTGCTGTGTGCTCGTCTGTGGCCTCTGCTCTGGAGTTTGGGGTCTGGAAGGTGAACACAAAGGCCCCAGCGTTGATGACTGTGTGGAACGCTGCTAGGGGAGCGGGCCGACTGAGCAAACGGGGACATTCTTTCTGCCTGAGGTCACTAGCTGGTCCCATTCAACCCCCCACACCTCTCCAACACCCGCTCTCTGCCCGCTCCTCTTGCCGAGGAGAGGAGGGGGAGGGCTCAATGCCTGCCTCTCTCTCCTCTGGCCTTTTGTCCCCAGACGGAGAGCCCGAACCTCCTCACTGTGCAACAAGTGATAGCACCAGAAGCTTCATGAGTTTTTATCTGTAGGTTTCAGAAAATAAAATTTAGACATTTTTGGAACACCAAATGGAATCAGAGGAATTACAAGCTTTACTACTTATTGTGAGATCAAAATCTAAAGGATTGGAGCCTCTCAAATCTGACTTGCTGTGTATTAAAGGTTATAACTGGTTGAAAGATTTAGAAAATGCAAATCTCTGCAAAAAGTTTAATTTGGGCCTGAGCACACTAAAAGACAAAATCCCGTAAAACAGCCACTGAAACTAAACAAAAACAATATCACAAAGCTTTTCCCTGAGCTTTCATTTAAACGACAAAATAAAAACAAAAATAATTCCAACAAAAAAAACACTACGTTCTATTCTCTTGTTCTTGTTGCTCGTTCTTCAGTCACAGTGGTACAGTTGAGGCTTCATGGCCTCTGCTCTCCTAAAAGCTGGCTGCCGGTAGTTTCTGGTTATTTAGGAATTAGAGCTCATTCTGATAATGCACTCATTTTGAGTGATAGTGTTGCCATGGCAATGCATGTGTGTCTGGTGAAAGAGGACTGATGTGTCGCCAAGGCAAAGGTATTATTCTGCTAAAAATGTCACTCCAGTATAGCAGGTGTATTGAGCCTGTTAATAATATATAAGACTCTGGAACCCATTGCTTTCCATGAATAAACCAGTAAACTTACCAGAAGCCACAAAAGGCTGTAATGAGAAAGAGTTAGGACTGAAGACTTTTCATTTCATTTAAAGGAGCAATATGTAACTCTGATGTGTATTAGAGAGAGCTGTCCCCCCCGCCCCCTCTGGGCACTGAAGCTTCAGTGTTTAGACAGCTCTGCATCGGTCTTAAAACTCTTCTGTGTTCAAATATCTTTCCCTTTTTCAAAAGCATCTACAATATTGATCCTAGTTTTGCAATGTTTCTGATCGTGGAGCTTATTAGAAAAATGCTAAGGCGTTTTAGGTCAGGTAGAATCAGTTACAACTGAACCAATTCGCTTGCCCGCTTCCATCACTGTAACGACTGTTGCTTTGCGGTTGGCTGTGTGGGGTGCCTTAAAACCCGCCTACCTTCTCTGG